CGAAACGTCGGATTTATCTATCGTTAGTTTTTGCCTGTATATGTTTATCTAAATCATTGTTGATTAAAAAATAACACATGCGAAATTTGCAGCTTTTTTGACAAAGTTCACGTTTGAGCAAAATACCTAACGCCAATTTTCCACTGAGCCCTTCACATAAACGAAACCGGGCTTTGTTATAATAAACCGAGCCAATCCTTTGTTATGAATCCTTTGTTATAATAAACCGAGGTGAGACTTCGACTAATAACAAAGGCTCGCTTCGGTTTAATATAACAAAGGATCGGCTCGGTTTATCATAATAAAGGCCCTGGCTTCATTTATCTGAAGTGCTCGGCTGAAAAAGGGCGTTAGGTATTTTTCTCAAAAGTGAACTTTGTCGAAAATGTTCCAAATTTCGCATGCAGTTTTGTTTAGGTATGTTTACCAATGTCCAGTAGTTTTTCCACTAAACTTTGCTTCATTTTCGAGATATTGCATACGCAAAAAACCACTCGGTTTTCCTGGCGGCGTCTTTATAAAGCAAAGCAAAAACCAGCGGCAAAAATACAGGACCACATTTTTCTATTACATGGAAGACCACATGCAAAAATTCAGCTAATTTGGAGCAAAAAAAAAGCAACCAAAATTGTCACTTATCCCCTTTTATGACTAGCTTCTTCAGATGTTATGCATCTCACTTGATTTTTATCACTTAGTTTTTAATTTTGAACCCTGGACTCTGACAGTTTGAGCCATATTTGAATAGGTAACTCATAAAGCAGAAGTGTTCATCTTTCCTGTATATAGTAAAGTACTCTTCAGAACTCGCCCTATAATGCATTGCGTGCATTGCGACATGCTGTTAGCACTTCATGAATGTACCCTAAAGCCAATTTTGGTTGCGTTCAACATAAAACTAGGTTTGCTTGAATCACATATAACCAGGAAATAATCCAGAGAAATTGATGCAGTCATCTAGTAGCATTTAATTAATCATAAATGATAAATAAATCAATGTCCAATCAAATTGATAAGATGTCCAACCAAAATTAATATTTGAAAGGATGCATGTCCTGTCAAAGAAGAAAAAGTATTTCCAGCACTGAACCTACCAGTTCCATGGTAATTGGATTTCATGGTCAATTTCAGACCCTGTACTCCCGTGGGGAAATGCGGAAGTACAGTTAATACCATAAACTTCCGAAAGTAATGACCCCTCTAATGTAGCAACCCCTCCCCCCTCCCCACAACAGTAACATCAAAAAATTGTGGTTGCTATTACATTCTGAAAGCCCAACCTTCACAAAAATAGTATATACATTTTTCCAATCAATAGTCAAGTGAAAGTTAGGTACCGTAACTTGATTGAAGGCACTCAACAACAAATTGACATTTCACAAGGTGTTGTGTTAAACCAAAACTCATTAAATTTTCTTCAAGTAACAGGAACGTACTAAAGAAAGCTTTGATTCAAATTGATATCATTTTCAACTAAAGCATATTAGAAGGGACGTTTCTTCAAATCTAATTTGAAAACTCAACCAGTGCACTAAGATATTGCTACAGCAGACTAACGTAAGGCATCTTGAAGAAGAAACAGTTTCCGGTATCTGGCAAGCTTCCCTGCCAACCACTGACAACACAATCTAGACATAAAGAGTCCACCCAGATGACAACAACATAGATATAAACTGGAGCAAAGAATTGTATCATGTTTTAAGAACTGTTTTTATGAATTTGCAGCTTTTTGCTTCATAAAGAGCTCATCCATACAGACTTTATATAACATTTTTTGCTCCCCAAAAGATAGGACCCCTAGAAAGTAACAAGCCCCTAAGGCTGCTAATTCTGAAAGTAACGAGGGTTGAGTTTGCTTCACAATTTGAAGATACAAGGGCAATAACGCATGCTATAACCCGCAAAATCATGTTTTCTGAGTTGAATAAGCTTGTTAAATATTTTAGAAGACTTTTAGCTTCAGGGAAATAGCATGGGACAGCAAGAGAACTAAAGAAATTATCAATGAAGCAGCCGGGCATAGTTCTGTTCACAGCCGGTCGATTAGCCTGATGCCCAGCCCTAAATGAAACCCCTGATTGTCTATTCCGAAAACACTCAAAACCTCTAAGTGTGGACCTACCTTGAATAGGGCATACATTGGTATGTGAGATGAGCGTATATCGCATGATTCTTTCCAAAGCTTTCTTCACAAAACACAGCATTCTGTAAAATGAAGAGCGAACATACAATAATTAGCAAGCTGTCACAATTCTCATCTCCAGTTTCCACACATTCAACTCAGAATGTCTGGAACTGACCCCCCATTTGGCATCCAAGGAAAAAATCCTGTACTTTTAGACTTAGGCATTCCTATGGAAGCCCAAGTAATAGTTATTACTTTCATGAGGACAACTTGTGAATTTTATGATGAAATTAGAGGCAGGAAATGATATAAAGACCTGTACTGACGTTGAGACAACAGCTGAAGTTTGTTTCAACCTAGCTCATTGCAGAGCACAGCATTCTTGTTTAATCATAGTTATTAGAAAATTCAATGGCTCTTAGAGCCAGCTCATTCATGTCATGACTAATGTGCATTTTTTGTCCTCCTTGGTCATGAAATATTGGTACAGTTGTACCAATTAATTGGAACCCTCGGATGTGCTGTAGGGTTCCAAACAACGGTTTGAAACAGCAGGAATTAAGTTCAAACAGATATCATTATTCTTGGGAAAATATCCATATTCCTCATTGGGATTGGAAATCAGACAGTCCCCTCTGTGGGGGGAATAGGCATTATCTGGTCTCACTCATTGGTCCATTCCCATAAACACCAAAACCTCACAAATCATTTTGAACTAATTGCCATTGACAGAAACTTTGGGAAGATTAAAGGTCAGTCTTTGGCACTAGGAGCTCTGGAATGGATTGGGTAACCATCTGAACCATCCCAGTAATGGCAAAGGTTAAGTCTGCATATGAGCCAAGAGGCCTATCAGGCCAGAGCTTATCCCAGTGTCTGTAGCATGAAGCAACTAGGATTATCTCTACTCCCCCTTGGATGAGATGCTAGTCCATTGCAGGTCTACCCCCAGCATTAAGTTCACTGGTACCAATTTATACACCTGGGTGGAGGGAGGCACTGTGAGAGTAAAGAGTCTTGCTCAAAAACACAACAAAATGTCCCTGGTCAGGGCTCAAACCCAGACTGCTCAATTCAGAGACAAGCACACTAACCATGAGGCTGTTGTGCCTCCCGCCATCCCAGTAATGCTATTGCCAAAAGCTGGTACTCAGTCTCCTCGAAGTTTCTGTCAAGGGCAATAGGTTGCTTAAGAGTAACAAAATATGATGTACTTAGTAAAATGTTAAGGATATCTAGTTAAATGACTATTATGCTGTTAAATAATAATACTAATTTAATAATTTTTATAGCATTTATTTATTTACATACACTGATCAATACCACTTTACAATAAATTCATCGAAGACTAAGTAATAAGACAAATATATAATGGTAATGTTATTAATAAAGGGGAAATAAAATAGAAATACATTGAAAGTACATTAAAATGCTGACTTTAAAAACATTTAAAGTGGTGTGACAACACACAGGTCAGCTGGGAGGCTGTTCCATAGAGCCGATGCAGCAAAAGTAAAAGACGTGGCACCAGGTGTTGGGTACATTGTCTCCTGTGACACTTTTATAGTAGGCTATTATTAGAGTGTAACGAGTACGAGCTTTTTGCTAAGCTTTTATGAAGTCACTAAGAGAAGATGATGCTAGTCCATAAATTGATTTGAATCTAAATCTTAATTTGATAAGCAGTGGGTAGCCAGAGAAGTTCCTACAGAGCTGGCATTATGTGCGAGTACTTGGGTACGTTCAAATTAATAAGTAGATAACAGCTACATTTTGGATGTGCTGTAGCTTGGAAATTTGCACATTGGGAAGTCCATACATTAAGCTACGGCAGCTGAGTTGAGAAGTACTAAGGGCATGGAAAATTGCACACAGACTATCCTCAGATACAGTAAATATTTCTTAATTTTTCTAGTATTATGTAAATGAAAGAATACACTCCTGCATGCCTTGGTGATATGTGCAGACAGGGACATTTTTTCACTAAACCAGACTCCTAAATATCAAGCACAGGCAACAGAGCAATATCATTATCACCAATGTGTAAACAAATGTTGCGATTTAACTTATTTTAATAGCTGATACCATGTTCCAATAAATGTTTATTAACAGCACCTCGGTTTTGTCATAATTAAGTAAGAGTCTATAATCAGTCATCCAGCTTTGAATATCTGCAATACACCTTTTCAAAGCCCTCACTCCAACATCTTGACTGACTTGGCCATCTGGCTTGAAGCTTAAAATGAAGCCGAGTGTTGTTAGTAAAGCAATGCACATGTGGTTTCCTACAACATCAAACAACTGAGATGAGTAAATAAAATTATAAATAGTAGAGGTCCTAAACAACAACCTTGAGGTACCCAGCAATCCAGGTTGAAGCATCGAGAAAGTGTTTCACTGGAGAATATCTGCTGACTTCTATTAGACAACTATGTTTTGAACCAGTTCAGGACTGTCTCCTGTAACCCAACTTTGTTTTGCAGTGCAGCACTTATCATTAACGTACAAAACTGAATTTTTTTTTGAAACATGCTAAAATTGTTAAAAAGTCATTATGTCAACACTTGTTAGAACCACTTTTCAATTTCCTAGGATATCTACATGTAGTCAGACTGGTAATATCCTTGTTTCAGGGTAACCGTGAGGTTTGGCTTCTATTAGCATACCATAGTTGTTTGTTAAAAAAAACAAAAAAATAGTTTTTGTAAATAGAACAACCTACTCTAATAAAAGCCACATTACAAATACTTAACTACCAGATCACAAAGAAAGGTATATTTTCTCCTCCTTACGAAATTCTTGAACTTGCCAAGGCTAATGAAGTCACATGTGTAAGCTTAACCTTATATTCCGTTAAATGTTTGGTCACAAGCAAGTTTTCTACAAACTCATAACAGTAACCATAATTGTATCTTCAACTAACTATAAATGCAGATTATAATTTTAACCTCACGAAAGAAACTTCCAAAACAGAAAACAATGAGGAATATGTGCTTCTTAATAATTATTATAATTATTATTCTTCTTGGAACATTGTCATTGTCATTGTCATTTCTTTCCCTTGCCGAGGATGATGAAGTCACATTTTCCCTTCTCATTCTAATTTCAACTTCCAAACCAGCTTCATCGTAATGAACCCGAAAACATTGCCTGTTGTTGATCTAATGTGTCAAGTAACTTTTTAATAAGAGATTGTTTTCTGCTATGTTAACAAGTGCTGACATATTTTAGGCAGATCATAAGGCAGTTTTTGTTGGAGCAAGCCTCCAACGTCTCAAAATTGGAGCTCAAAAAATGGTTTGGTGAGACTACAGTATCTTGGCCGCTATGATTGATGTATGCATTTTATGCTGAAGAGTTCCAAAGGAAAAGCATAATAATAAAGCAATGATTGCTTACCAATACGAAAGCAAATATGTGTTTTGCCAATATGGCTGCCTCATTGATTTGTTGTGGTAGTATGTTGTAAAATAACCCATTTAGGGTCCCCTCAGAGTGAACATTCGGCCTCTCAATCCATATTGTGATTTTCAGAGGTTCAGAAATTCTGACTTGATGTTAAAATTTGTTTATCACACCATACAAACACTTTTTTTATTCTTTGCACTTGCTTATTGCAGCAACATCAAAATTTATTTGGGCTTTTATTAAGCTGAAGCGGGGAGGGGTGGTGAGGACACTTTCACTTCCATCTACAGTCCACAATTTCTGTCCACAAACTTCTGTCAACATTTGGTCCCTCACGATACTCATTGATTGCTTGCGCATACGCGCACATGAATGAGCTAAAAATGGGTGAAGATATGCCTTTTCTGGACGAATCAAGAGTCTTGTGAGTCTATGTACGAGTCTGTGGTTTTGTCTTCCCCAATCAGTTGCATTGGCTTCTCGTTTTGTTGTTTTTACAGAAATGGGTGCCACAGGATGAAGAGATTGACTTAGGAGGAGGGTTGGAGGACAATATGAAAGTGGTAAATAGTGTAAAAGTAACCAATACTCATGTGAAGTTTATATGAAATAATTCATATATGAACTGCGGTTGTAGATGAAAGTGAAGAATGATCATCGCAGTAANGAAGTTTATATGAAATAATTCATATATGAACTGCGGTTGTAGATGAAAGTGAAGAATGATCATCGCAGTAAATTTTCCAATTTAAGCAATTGGAAAGAAGAAGCATGAAAAAAATCAGGGCTTCAACAGGATTCAAACCCGTAACCTCTGCGATACCTCCGCGATACTTTTAACCAATACTTAGTAGCAATGTCTCTTGGTTAATCTATATAATAATTTTTCTTGGACTGTCAATACAAAAATGTGATAAAAAGTTTAATTTTTCAAGTGGTGCCTATTCAGTTTAATCAGAAATGTTATTCAAGGCTGTTGTGCATTCCTTTTTGCATTTTTGTGTTTCTCGTGTGAAGAAAAATTTGTTATAAACTTTGTATTTTAGTAGTCTCCCAAAAGACTACTGTTTGTGTTGACTTTTTATTTTGCTTTTATCAAAAACCAGCTGTTGAATGGTACCAGTTTTTTGGCCATGCATGACTGATTTCACCAGACATTTCTTTACTTAGATCATTGATCATATTTAGAACATCCAAAATGGCCACTGTATAGAGTGGTTCTATTTTTCTTATATCTTGATGCTTGGTGACTTATGCTTGCATGACACTTTCTCAAACCACTAGTATTATTTTCAAGCTAAAACAAAAGAGTTTTGGTTGCATCCAAATCATTTGAGCTGTGAGGAAACAGGTGTATTTTTGAGTTTGTGAGAGAAAGGCTGGCGGTGCAGTGGGCTAAATTTGTTGGCTTTACACACTTGTTGGTGAAAGATACTATCATCCAATTGGATTGAGCATTTGCGACAGTCTTATGTTCAGTATTTAGCAATTAGTGACCTGATCATAGAAAGAGTCAATGAGCTCTTCTTTCAGTGTGGGTTGAGTTTGTGTCATGGCTGTGAGTTGTTTTGTCATGGGACAAAAACTGACTCAGTTTGCAAGCAGTGATGTAGAAGTTGAAGTAGATGTTCAGGTATTTTATGTCTACATAGAAAATAATTTTTCCCATTGTTAAGTGACATAGACTGTATTTATTATCTAGTGAGTACATTGAACATAGTAAGCATCATTTTACATCATTCAATTATACCATATGTATGTAATTATGTGTATGACGTTTTAATGAACCAATATAATTTATTACATCCATTATTATTATGGATGCCATATACTGGTTCCTCAACAAGTAATTCTCAACTTCAGAGTATGTTTTAAATTCCCATGTAGTGTAATATGTGATTTCTTTGATACAATTAGGTAATGTATTTGAAATCACTTGGTTTTAGAATGGTTGGTCAGCTGATGAGATGTTCAAAACCAATCAAGAGAAATTTGGTGTTACTTCAACATACAGTGATGATCTATTGCAATACACGTTAGTACAATGGTTTCCGTTGTGTGGTTGTTGTCTTGGTAGCTTAATCCCTAGTGTCCCATGTATTTTCTTTGTGCCTGGTCACTATCCTTGTGTTGGATTTTTCGGGAGACGCCTTAAGTGGAGGCCTGTCTCTGCTTACCTGAATGGCTACTACTGTCAGTACCACCTGCACTGGACAAGCATACAGATCATGGTTGTTCAAAGGGAAAACAATGCTTTCCAGTGGATACATCATTATTCAATGGATAAACTATGCTATCCACTGTTTGTTGATTGATTGAACAATTGCCTGAACCTTTCCTTCCTAGTACCTCCATCACTCAGACACTTGGCTCTGACCCTGTGCTGTTTATATAGAAAAGATTCCAATGAACCACTGAACTGGTTTTGAAGCTATAGACACACAAATCTGTTAGTTTCATCAACACAGATCTACAAACATCAGACTTCAAGCTAAGAAGAAAGTCAGAATTCACATGTACATATATAAAACATTTTTTTAGGACACCACTTCCAAAAGATAGCACTCGAGAGATGGAATTGAAAGCAGAGCAGACAGCTCGAGAAATCGAACAGGTCAGCTATGTAATTGATATGATTAGAGGGGTTTTTTAAAAGTGGTTTTTATGGTGTTGATTCACTTTAATTAAAACAATGTTTAAGTGCTATTAAAATTGATGAAAATGTTCAGGCTTTAACAAAAGGAAAAACACCTGTGTGGTATTTAATGACCTTTGAAAAAGTATGCTTATGCATACATACCCTTAAGAGAGTAATGTTTTGTGATGTTCAAAATAGTAGAGAGGTTAAGCATGATGTTTACGGCAACCAGCAAACGGGAAAAATGAAACTTTTGTCATCTCTCCTCAGCTGTGTGTACAGTAGAGTGAAATTATTTGTATTTGCAAGGAATAGTGGGAGACGTTATTCCATTTTTGTGGGCTTTATTTATGGATTAGAAGAAAAGAACTGAAAATCAGAAGTTGCCTTTGCCGTCTGCCATTAACGTCATGCTTAACCTCTCTATTGTCCTTTCTTTAACAGTCAAGGGGTCATATTCGTCGTCAAGAGGTTGACAGTGGACGCAGTGAAGAGGAGGCATTTGCAGCTGTTGTTAGACCCCAGACAACAAGTACTGTATCAAAGACAAGTCAGGCACCCCCTGGACACTCTTGCATGGACAGAAAGTCTCCAAGAGGAGCTACCGAAGGTAGTCTGGCACTAGGACTCAGTAGTTTAAACTCATCTGTTTTTGTAGAATGTGGTGTAGTCTGGTGTTGTTTACAGATTTCTTAGTAGAGAAAATATCCTGATCATGTCGTCTAAAACCAAAGTACTCTAAAGAAAAGGTTCACTGATTGGGTTAAAATCATGTCTCTATAACTCAAAAGAAACACAGAACTAGCACAATCTGTTGATGTACATGTTTCTATTAATCAATTAGATTATGAGCTCAAGATTTCAATCAGGTGGTAGTTGACAAGGGCGGAGCCCAAGTCAACTATCATGCATAGAATTCGAGAGCGATTATAAGTCTACTAGTCATTCAAAACTTTATCGGAATCTTCTTCATAGACACTTCGAAGACGCCAAGAAGTGGTCATTATTTTGTTAGCAAGGGCACACTGTTATGCTATTCACTATCTATCACAGAATAGATAGTAGGTAGCGTAGACAATCAGAGCATGGCATTCGTGATAGAACACTAGTAGATTTATACTAAAACTCAATAGAAACATGGTATGTTGTCTATTTTTTAATTATTCACCTGCAGTTCAATAAACTTACTGTGATTTTCCTTGATACTCAGCTGCTTTATAGGCAATCCAATTTCTCAAACCATAATAGTATTATCATCAGCCGCTCTCAGTTACCACGTGGGATGATGAGGGGGAAAAACCAAACATTCTAAAACTCCTTTGTGACCTTGAATTTCCCCAGAACACACTAGCTGATGAGGTTCTATTATCTTAATGTCACTTTGATATCCTTCTGCTGCTATGAGGTTGGCTTTTCTTTTCTTATCAGTGTCATAGTCCAAATATATGGTAGTCCACGCTAGACAGTAAAGTGTTTCTCTAGGTTGCTTGTATTTTTTCAACAAAGTAGATTGAATCTCCACCGCATGTCACAATTGTTGTTGTTGTGTGACCTAACCAAAACAAAGAAATCACAAAACCATGTGTAGAAAACAGGAGGTAAGCAACATGAAAACATGCATGAGTAGTTTCCCACCCATTCAACCACAGCCAACACCCAAGAAGAGAAAAACTTTTCATACCTTTCCTTGACTAAATTACAATTACTTGCAAATTACAATTTCCTGACTAGATATTAAATTCCCTAACTTTCTTTGGATCTTGAAAAACTTTCCTGACTTTTTCCAGACATTTGGCAACCATGCATATTACAGTACAACACGTTTTCATTTTTTTTTTTACTTTTTAACTTGGAAAATATTATTTTCCAAGTTGTAGTAGTGGAGCAATTTCACTCCTTCACTCCTTCACTTCTTGTTAGACATTTGGAACCCCAGGGGAGAACTCTCATTTGAAAAGACCAGGGACACTTGTCAGAAAATTTGAATTTAACCCCTAAAGGACACTAATGTAGGAGTTGCTTGAGCTTCATTAGACCCCTAAAAGATACCACTTAAAATGGAATAGGTTTGCTTACTAGCCACTGTTCAAGAGAGGATCTCACACTCACTGGTAGACCCGACTTGCATGCTCAGGAGAACAGTGGAAATCAAGCCTAAAATTAAAACGGAAATTAAATGAGAGTGTTTCTTCCTTTTTATTATTATTTCTTTGAGTGCACCCTAAAGGATACTTTGACAGCAAAAAATGGTGTTTTGTCATCAACATTCTAAGTGAGACCAGAATCCTTGATTTGTACCCAAGACAACAAGTATACCCAGCCTTTTCATGTATGAGTCATTTCATGTAGGATGCAAGAACTCAATATCTTACTGCAGAAATGATCTACATAGAATAGATTTCCGTACAAACATTTTTATATATAGAAGCTACATGCAATTACATAAATAGCTCATTCCTGAAGGTGTCTGCTTAAACAGGTTTAACTGTACTTGATTGCCAAAAAAGGAGATATTGAGAGTCAAAATTGATGAGCTGTATGAATTTTTGAATGATTCAAGTTGTGATTAAAAGTTTGCGACGATCAACAGACAAGAGAATTGAGGAGAATTCAAACGACATGTTTTGCTATTATTTATAGGTTATTGTAAATAAATACACATGAATACGAACATGGTGAAATGATATGAATAAATACAAGAAAAGACATTACACAAGGCTGAGGGTTCTGCAGTCCTTAATATCACCTTGGAAATGAGAGGGGAAAAAGAAAAGAAGTTATTACAACACAGGGTATTCGTATTTGGTAACCCAGCCAAGTAGGAACCCCGCTGAACAGGGCTTAACTTTGTTGAGTGGACAAGACATGGTGCTGTCCTTGTGGTTTAGTGGCTCTACGTTGGATACATTTTTTTTTTTTAATTTCTAAGATATCTCAAAAGGTAACAAGAAAGAAAGAAAATCACTGGTACTGGCTGGGAAAATAAAGAACTAAAAAAATAGGAATGAAAATGAGAATTATTTCTTGCTTTGGCAAGCGGACAAGAAGTGGTACTTTCTTTATAATATTGTCTCAGTCTTTTGGATGAGGATAGGCGATAACTTCATGAATGTTTTCAACTGTGTCACATCTCATGTCTTAATCGTGTCAGTGGATTTTAACTTTAACTTAACCTACGGATTAAAACCTTAAGTCAGTGGCATCAAAATTGCCACTGTTTACAATGACCCATTTTCCAAGTTGAGTGGCTCACTTCCTTTTCACTTCTTAGTAGGTTTTGTTTCTAAAAAGTGAATCTGCAATGAAATGAAGATATGCCTTGGGTTTGTAGTTTTCAGTGAAATATGTTATTAATAGACCTTTTTAAAAGGTGTCAAGTGAACTACTAAAAATGTACCTCTCCTTAGCCTCTTCTAATCCATTCAGGAGCGACCAAGATCACTACTCAAGGAAGTTAGAAAAATACCCACTGTCTTTCCTCTTGTTTATTTAGTTGTGTATATTACAGCTGATGTTAATTTTTGAGTTATTTTTTTGTAAAAAAAATACCTCTTAGTCTGCTCGTCGGGTATGTTATGGATGGGTCTATGGATGAGTGAGTGAGTGAGTGAGAGATGTATGTATGTCACACCAATTAAATTGGATCTACTATAAACAGCCAATCAAATTTCTTGTTGTAAAGGTAGATGGTATGTGAGAAGATTTGATCCTGACACAGTTTAGAACGGCCATATTTATTCTTCTATAAAAGAGAAGGAAGTATTCATATATTGGGCTTACTTCGACATTTTCTGTGGGTAGGCTGAGGATTTTAGTGACGAACAAGATGAGCCCTGAGGTTTATTTTTAGTTACAAAGGTAACTTGATACTTTTGTTTTTCACAAGGAGTAAATTCAATTAGAGGTCA